ACACACACAGACAACCTCTCGTCAATATGCGTTTTTCGCATTGCATTGTTGCAAAAAACGCATAATTACCAGTGTTTCCCCGATGCAGAGTCTGCTTCTCCAAATCGTTGATCTTGCTACTTCCCAGTGGATCACCTCGTCGTATTTCCAAAGATTTTTGGTAATTAATGGAAGAGCTAGCCGTTTCACAGTCCTTAGAAGAAATTCCAGTAGTGGGCGAGCATATACTGACGACTACCGGATTGCTTGATTTATTCCTTGCAGTAATCCCGAACTGTCTCGGATCGCGAATTATAATATTTTTCTTCGGGTAAAAATTTCGGATATTAGGACCACCTGGAGCTATTTGAGTCCGCCACAGGGATTTCACGCTTCTGATTTCGGAAGTTAAAGCAGAACGGGCTTCGGGGGCACGAATAAAAATGAACAGTGAAGTAATTAGGAGAGAGCCACCGATAAAAGTCATTACTGCTGGAAGAAGACGCGATCACGTTATAGCATCGTCCATCAGCAGTGGCTGCGTGTCTCTCGGAATATGCGTGGATCAAAGACGCTGAGCGCAGCACTGGTTCTACCTCCTCTGTCGCTGAACCTGAATGTGAGTCATTGGATGAGCAGCACTGATCACATATCATCTCACGCGACAAATGCCCGCGGGCAGTCTGGGATTCACTATCCGCTTCTACTACTTTAGCACAGGTTTTCTACTACACTTTTTTGCATCCAACCATTTGCCCTTGCTAATTACTTCCAACAAATTACTTGTATATTCTTAGAATGTTGTGAATTTCCGCGGTGCTTACTGATATAGCCACGAGCGGGGGAAATCTATGCTGCATCATTTCTCCGGAGCTGCACTTTTTCGGTATGCATCCGCTCACTGTTCACTGTGGAAAAATCATCACCGAAAACATTTCGCTTTCCTTTTTATGAACACCTTTAATTCACTGAAGCGCGACGTTCAGCGACTGTCAGCAAGACGAACAGCACGGCTCGGCTAGTGGATTCTACTTTCTCTTGGTGACTTGACATCAGATGAAGTGCCTATCTTTATTTGCTGTTAAAAAATGTTTCAAGCATGCTGCTCTTCACTGTCTTCTTTCTTACAGCCAGCGCTATATCTTCGACGAGAAAGCATTTCACTCACAAAATGATCTCAAATAAACTAGGTCTAAAATAACCCTCGCCAAGAACAGTGTTGCAAATGCCGACATGCTCACATGTATGTGATGCTAGTTTGGAAGAAGTTGACAGCTACGTCTGTCTCATCTAGGACGTAGATACGAGCCAAATCTGTAGCTGGAGATTGTACACAGGGTAGCTGCCAGTTGACACAAATTTGACAACACTGTCGGCATCTACAGCCGGGAAGAACCTGCCAACCTGTTTAAAAAACAATCCACTGGTCTACTCGAAGGATACAAAATAAACGCAACAATCAGAAATAATTTACAGACCATTGCTGTGATATCCTAATATTAATAAATGCGCCATAAGTAATAGCATTATTGAAAAAGTGCACTAGAATAATGTTATTGTCAGTATTTTCACAGAAATTTTCATTGAAATTATGGATAAAATTTAGGTAAGATTTAATAATAGGTGTGTGGAGGTAAGGAATGAAGGAAAAGAGCGGAATGAGGTAAATAGGCATAGGCACTCAGGTATACGACATGAAAGATAGTAAGGGGATGGAGTTGAGTAAGAAACCAGATCTCCACAACACAATCATATATTTTTCAAGGCGAATCGGGTGAAAATTACTCGGAAATGCAGCAGATAACAAATCGAAATGTTATCCCACTACTATTCATTGCGGTGGATCAATGTTCAAAAAATTTGTGGAAATAAGAAACCTGTTTGGAAAACAGGGTTCCAGACTTCTAAGTGGTGGCAAGCGGACAGCTGGAAAGAGGGACGGAGACGATGAGGGAGGCGAAAGCAGAGATTTGATGGATTCTAAACCCACTGTTGATTCTTAGGACCATTTTTCAACCGCTTAAACCGTCAAAGTCAAAAATCTAGAACCCCGTCCGTATTTGCTCTCCGTGGGAGGCAAAAGCACTCGAGAAGTGGCCGAGTGCTAGCAAGTGTCAACAGCAATTACTGGCTGATAAGGCTGCTGACGGCTCTGCGCAAGCCTTGAATAAATAATTCAACCTAGAAATACGTAAACTGGAAATTTAAAAATTTCATAGGGAACCCCAACCCTACTTGAAATTGCAGGACTAAATCGACTTTTTCTCCGGTTGTTTCACGCTGAAAAAGTTTAAGCTGATGACTTTTTCATTGTATCTTCAAACACCATCACAATTTTATCATTACTGATATCACTATAAACAAATCGAATTTCACAAAATGCAAATAAAGAAACGTCTGTAAAAAAACCCGTTGAACACAACAAGCCTATTTGTAGAATACAGGTCAATTTCATTTATTTCAAATTTTAACCCGTCCGCAGATTAGAGAATTATCTTTATTTCCTGATTATCCCTGTCGTAATCTGGTTTTGCCTAAAGCATTCCAGGAAATCAGTAACATAGGATACCGAAGCCGATTATCCAAGCGGTTCTGATACCTTATTAACATTTGATAAAATTTCCATTTGATAAGATTTCATGCATCATGTGATATAACATTGGTGGAAATTTTGTTTTTATGAGTTTTGTGCTGCAGCAGTTGCACGAAACGTAGATTGTTGAGACTCTGTCTGTGTGCGTTTGTATGTTTTGACTGTGTTTTTTCTGGGATTTTAAACAGGGGACCAGAGAAATAAGAAAGCCGGAATTTTAGGGGAAAAGGTTTTGGGAAAAGAGTTCACTACCCGCGTGTGATTTATAAATTCAACTCGGGCATACACCTAGGTTTCATGTACGGACATTTGAAAGTTTTGGCATGAAAATTATTGATTTGGGAGCCGGAAAAGCTAGGAAGCTGAAATTTTGGGAGAATTTCCCTTGCTCACGCACGACCCGCAAATTTAAACTCAGTTCTCGCGTGCGCTTAAGCCTTAAGCACGATCACAATAAAATTTCAATGCTAAAATTGTTAAATCGGGGACCAAAAATATTAGGAATCTGAAATTTTATGAGGATGTTCAGTACTTATGTGCGATTCAAAGATTTCAAATTCAGTTCTCACGTTCGTCTTGACCTTACATACTTGAATGAAAAATTACTAACACGAGGACCAGAAAACTAGAAACTAAAATTTAAGTGCCCACGTCGCTGAAGATTTTAATTTAGATTTGGATGCGCCCACGTTTCATTCGGACGCGTGCACTTTGGCGGAAAACTTCTCAATTCGTGAACCAGGAAAGGTAAGAAGCTGAAATTTCAAGATGTTTCCTGTGCATGCGCACTCCGGAAATTTTAGATTCACATTCCATATATGCCTAGATCTTACATACGGAATAATATAAGTTTTAGCCTAACATTCCGACGATCTCTACACATGCCAAACAGTAAAGCAGTGAACATTTTTAGCAGTAAACGTCCATCGGAGAAAACTGCACAAAATACATGATCCCCAGCCACCCTGGTGCGCATCGCCATTTTTTATTATAGTGCTACTGCAAAAGGACGCAACGCTATTCTTCGAGGAATCTTATGCAGTCCAGTAAACCTCTTCGTCCTGTGTTCGGTTTCTTAGTATTGGTAGTCGGTTGATCATTTTCAGGGTCTGCTGATCTGCGATCTGAAATACCCGTATTGGTACCCTCCTCATCCTCGTTCTCAATATTGTCATAGTAATCCGAGGATCTTCGCCTACGCGCGAATTTCTGGATATCTGACGAGTCCTGCTGTCTCCCGCCTACTACTATTGCCGGGGCCGGTATGGGATTCGTGTTTGGTAGCAGTATCTTGTTCTCAAGATGGGGGAACAAAAAATTTTGTATTTCTTTTGGCATGAGGTTCAGTGTTGTTGTTGTTTTTGCTGCTGCTTCTGCTACTGGCGTTACCGCAAACATCAACGGTGCAAATGTGGGAAAAGCGAGCATTAGCGGTGGAAAAGTGAACAAATTTGGTGGACTGACTGTCATTAATTTCAGAGTAGTTGTATTAGGAGCTGATAAGTATGATAAATTG